CCCCTCTCCCATGTCCCCCCGGAACTGTCAGTCCCGTTGTTTTCTCCTCCAGATTGTTCATCCAGCCTGTGGGTACTGAACTTCTGAATAAATCTTTATATATCATTAGTTTAAATTTTTATATATTTTTATATAAATTTTAACTGGGAACAAAACAGTAAGCAATTTATATAATATTGAAGATGTTGAGAAAACTGTAATGGGTCCTCATATAACTTTTACATGGTGCAATATTCTCCATTAGTATCAAACCAAAAGTAAATTCTGAAAAATTATTACCTACCTGATATGTGTGGAGTGAAAGAGTCTTTCCAGGGGCTCATGTTTAGCAGAACTATAGAGGAAGGATTTAGGGTTGGTGATAAGAACCACAGGCCATTTGCCAAAGGTCAAATCTGCAAAGCTGAAGAGGTCATGATCAAAAGCAAAGATCCGGTACCTAGACACCAGAAGACAGTAAAATAATTTCATAATGTGATATTGTATATTATAAGAGATCATGAAGTAACATACAAAACACGTAAACGTACAAAAGTGGTGCTTTTTTATCATGAATTTTAATGCTGAACTAATAATATTGTTTCTGTCTTTTCTTATCCAGATCAATTTATCCTTCATGCTTATCACATCACATCTACAGGGATCTAATTGGGGCAATAAATCAAATACTCCCTTATAACAATGCCTCCGGGTACATAGAAAATTATGGGAATCAGAATGGGAAGAGACTGTATATGGATGAATCCTTTAGTCTCATATATTAAGACACCTGGAAGGCCGGGTTTCTGGGTGAAGGGAGGTCTTCACCCTTGTGAGTTGGAAATGAGTCCCAATCGCATTCTCATAATTAAAGTTGTTCGCCACTAAATCTTCCCATAATAGTGTTACCTTTAGATTGCCTCTAACAACAGCACGGCTGATTGCCATCTAGCTGGCAGCTATAACTATAGGAACAGACAAGTGCTTTTGCTCTCTAAGCTCTGAAGTCAGCCACTCCCACTTACCTGCTCTGGGGCACTGGTGTTAGGTTTACACCTCTGATGTGCTCTCTCAGGGACCTTTAAGGCTAGGGCACAGCCCACTTTGTTACCTATGTAGTTACCTGTGATTAAGAGGGCTTGCACACACCCCCATCCCTCACCCCCGAGGGTGTATAAGGCTCTGTTGGAAATATATTCTCTCTCGTTGCATGGACCTGGCTCCTGAAATCATGGTGGTCCCGGAGATAAGCCGTTGCATGCCTTATCTTGTCTGATGTCTCTTTAATCTTGCCCTTCAATTAAACAACTGTCTCTCAGACCCATTCGATTGTGGGGCTGGTACCCCACAGAAAATACTCTTTAATTTTTAAATAAATGTTTACTGCATTAGTTAAGTTATTTTAATACCTTAACACTATTTGGAACCTAAGACACTCATCATACGCCTTACACCTGACATTCTTCATCCCATCAACAGGAACATATAAAATACTGAAATAATTGATATTAACACAATGACAAACTTTGCATCCTTCCTTTAAACTTTTCTTTATTTGTTTTGTTTTTTTCTTTACTTCTATTTCACAGAAATTAACAAAAGTTATTTTTATTTTCGAAATGTATGATAAAAGGTTTAAAAGAGTAAACTAAGTTTTAGAGTTTCTGACTTTTAGGATGACGAAAAACAATGATCAACTGTGGCAGAAACAATAGTGCTCACCAAATAGTCCACATGCTCTCCTGCATTTCCCAGTCTCCCTTGTATTAGGTTGGGGCCATGTAATTAGTTCTGGCCAAGGGGCTGTGAACAGAAGTGACATGGGTCACACTAAAGAGTGGTCTAAAGAGTGGGTATGAGTTTTCTGTGCCCTCTTCCCTGCTCTGGAACCAAGGTACTCAGATAGAAAAAGCCTGAATCCCTGAGTCACCCCATGGAAGAGAGTTGCCTTGATGCACACTGGACTTTATGTGAATGAAAAATACACTTTTATTGTGGTAAGTCTTTGACATTTTTTTATTTAATTGCACCATAACAAACCTACCCTAATACCAGTAATCTAATAACTGGTTTTTGTTGTTTGTTGTTTTTTTAAACTGTATTTATCTTCACAGTGCTGGGGAGTGGGACGGATCACTGAAATTCTGATAAAAGTGATAGAAAAATTCGGGAATAGTTCATAGCAATGTTTAAACACAAACACAGTAATTATGTCACTGACTCGTACACGTGAAGACTGTCAAAACAGTCAATGTTTTTACCTGTACATTTACCACAGTCAAAAGACGGGGGATGTCTCATTTTAACTAATATAATTTAAGTGTTTTTGTGAGTAAGTCAAGCTTAGGTGCTTAGCACTTCAGTAAACTCCAGATTGAATGGCAGGGTTGGGACACAGGAGAGCAGGTGGGAAAATAAAGAAGGGGAATGATTGTACAATTAATATCACTTAATATAAAACTTTAATTTTAAAAAGTCAAGAAGCTAGTCAAGGGTTAAGAAAGAAAGGTCGGGTCAGCTTTAGTTCTAGTGGTACTTGTTACTGCATAGAAGCTAAATAGAAGAAAGAAAGGTATCTGGCAAAAGGCAGGCAGAGCCTAGGCAACACCCTCAGTCCTGCGAAGAAGACCAGTCTCAGTTCAAAGTAATACAGCTTCAAAGTTAAGTAGAAGTTTCAAGGAAGGTCCCGTGTACTTTCTAGAAAAGCCAGCAGAAAATGAGATCCTGCATTCCAAGATGTAAAGCTGCCTTTCAGTTAATGAAAGTAGTTAAAAATAGAAAACATTTATTGAATGCCTTAAATCTTCAGAGTTTAAAGTTTGAATAAATTAAACGGCAATTGATAATAGCTGAGTTAGTTAATTGTGCCAAGCTGGCCGATAATCACATGTGGGGCTAATTGAAAGGTGGAGGGATAAATGGGTGGTGAGCCTCGCCTTTCTAGTTCTCGGGTCTCTTGTTTTGTGATGGTCGCACCAGGGTGCAGCTGCCTTAGCAGTACCCTGATTCAGCTTGCAAGATTGACTTCCTACAAGACAACCCCAAGGAGAAGCCACATGGACCTAACCCGATGCAGCCCTGGGTGCTGGAGCAGCCATGTGGAGACCCCTGCTAATGCTGAGGTGCTTATTCGTTCACTGACTCAGCTTTCCTCCTGCAGTCGGCATCATTGCCTCTGTTTTGTGAGGTGGAGGACTTTGTGGACTGGTGCTGGGTTAATGTTGGACTTGTGGACTTGGGCAGCATTGGGTTGGGATGTTTTCGTGATGCACACTTTCTTTACATAAAACTCTCTTATACATGAGTTGCTGTGGATTTGTTTCTCTAAAGTACCTAGACTAATAATATAGCTAAATGAAATGTGTAGCTATTATCTATATATGCTTCTCTATACTAAGATAAAACATTTCACTTAAATAGTTCTTCTAAAAGTATATAGTTAACTATGTATGTGTGTGTACACACAAATATGTACATATATTCCTAGTGATGCATAAAGAGAGAGATGTCCTGATGGTGCAGTGGTTAAAGTGCTCAGCTGCTGACCCAAAGGTCAATAATGGAAACTTGGATGCCACTCCAGTGGTAAAAGATGTGGCAGTCTGCTCTTGTGAAGCTTAAAGTCTTGGAAACCGTGTGGAGCAGTTCTACTCTGTCCTATAGGATTGCTATGACTCAAAATAGACTCAACTTCATCATATATATATATATATATATATAATTTAAAACATTAAATATCTCATCACCTATATTTTATGACCTTAAAGTATGCTATATTAGAAAAGCTTTAACCTTAATAAAGTCAACTATCATTTATTTGAAGAAATTGAATCACTAACATAGTAATAATTAGAATGATAGGTATAGTATTAGGGAGGAAATAACATTCCTAGTTCTAAGGTATTTCTAAGTGTGGTCCATTGACCATCTGATGGGCTTGTAAATAAGGCAGCTGGTTGGACCTTAACCCAGACCTAGAAAACTGAAATCTGTAGAGACAGGGCCTGGAAATTTCCACTGTTAATGAGCTCCTCCTAATTGCTGTGTATTGTAGAGTTTGAGAACTATTTCCTACTGGATGCATCTTCAAATGGCAAACATCACTGCTACAGCAAGGATTTTTTGAAGACAAATAATATTTTTTTTAAAAACATTTTTTTTAAAAACCCACAAAAAATGCCCACGAGTTTTTCCTAAACTGAAACCATGAGGTCACTAAGAAGACTCTATCGTTGTTTTAGCAAAACTTGCACATACAAGTCTTACCTGTGGAGTAGTTGCCTTACCTTCTGTTGTCTTTCCAATCTCCCACCTCAAGTTCCAAAGTGCCTTGGAAGTTTCGAGTGTGCAAAACAGGCATCAGTCCGCCCAGGGTGTGGAGGTGCCCACAAAAATAAGCAGTAGCTGAACTAACCAATGAAAAGTAAATGGAAGAAATGATAAAAGGTAACTTGTGATGACTGACTAATTAAAATGCCTCTTCAGGAAGGTAAGGTATGTAGAGTAACATCAACAAAACAAAAACAATTTTTTTTTTTTTATTTTAGTTTCAGAAACTTGCCTTACCTCATTACTGATCGGATTCCTGGTGACGCAGAAAGGATAGTAGATGTTGTAAAATGTCCAAACCAAATCGTGTGGTTGCTCTGACTACTCTCCGTGGCCAGTAACGAAAGCTCTTCCATTCGTTTCTGACATGGGAGAAAGGTGTAAGAAGGACTCAGGCTGAAACCTAATTTTAAGAGTGAGCAAGAGATTAAACAATTTCCCTGAAGTATTATAATAGTTTTATTAGGTCTAGGGCTTCAACCCTGCTTCTAGGGCTTCTATAATGGCTTGTATAGAACTCTACATTTCCAACGTTTCTCTACACTATGAATCAGAATCAACTCAGAGTGTCTGGTTTTCTCAGGAACCCATGTGGCATAGTGGGCTGTAACTGCAGTCAACAGTTCAAACTAACCAGTCCCTCTGCAGGAGAAAGATGAGGCTTTCTTCTTGCATAGAGATTTACAGCCTCTGAATCCCACAAGAGCAGTTCGACTCAGTCCTGTAAGGGTCACTGAGAATCGGGATTGACTTGGTAACAGTGAGTTTGAGTTAGAAGTTATTTAATTCTTAAAAAAAAAAAAGAAGTTATTTAATTCTAATAATAGCTCTCTTCAATGAGTAGGGCAGGTACTATTCCCATTTGAGAGAGAAGGAAACTGAGAAATAAAGACGTTACTGCTAATCTTGCAATTAATAATAAGGATATTGAAACTAAACTTCTAAAACAAAATGCCCTCATGTCCACAGAAATATGTTTACCTGATAGTCATAGTAGCTCTATTCATAATATTCAAAATCTGGATACCATCAGAAAATTGCTGCATATCTATATAATAAAATGCCACTTAGAAATAAAAAGGAAAGAAATACTGATATACATGTTATGGATAAATCTGTCTGGTACAATGAATTGCTTTTGTAAAATCTTTCAAGCCCTGGTCTCTTAACTCCCACAAAATGATTGCCTAGGACAACGGTTCTCAACTTGTGGGTCACAATCCATTTGATGGTTGAATGACTCTTTCACAGGGGTCGCCCAATTCGTAACAGTAGCAAAATTCCAGTTATGAAGTAGTAACAAAAATAATTTTATAATTGGGGGTTCACGACAATGTGAGGAGCTGTATTAAAGGGTCGCGGCATGAGGAAGGTTGAGAACCACTAGGATGATGAGGTGTGTAAAACTCCTGCAGAGAGTGGACAGCGACCGTGCAAGTGAGGTGTCTACACTAAAGGGATGGGTCAGCTGTGAATCCCACTAAGCTTAACAGAGTCAATCCTACAGAGGTTGAGGACAACTTCACTACCACCAGGAAGTGCTGAAAGAGGAGCTCCACCTTCGGACCTAGGGTCCCAGAGCTGAGAACTTTCTGGGTCCCAGTGCTGAGAACCTTCTACACCCAGGAAACAGAACTATAACACGGAAGGGAACCCAGATGGCAGCAACCCAGGACTGATCAATAGCTGCAGTGGGCTCACCAACGCATGCAGCAAGAGAGCCAACTAGTGTGTTACTTCCCAGTTGTCCTGATCCCAAAATGTAGCCTGTTACTTCTCTAATAAACCCTCTAACTGTAAGTATGGTCCGTAAGTTTTGTGTGGCCATTTCAGGGAATTATCAGACCCAGCAGAGAAGCAGAGAGTACCATAGGGAGAAGAGTTGGTGTCAGAAGTAGTAAAATGGTTAGGGTGTTAGTATGTCTCATCTCCACCTCATGGAGACCAGCCTGCACTAATGGTGATCCTCTCTCTTCCTCCTGAATTTAGACGAGCTCTGATACCACCATATAGCATTCTCAGAAATATTGTGATACTGGGCAAAATAGTTTTTAAATGCTAGACATAAGAGTATATACCAGATGATTTTATTTATGTAAAATCCTAGAAGAGGGAAAACATTTATAATGATAGAAAAACCAATGGTTCCCTGGGACTGAGGATAAAGACTGCAAAGTGGCATAAGGGAACTTGTCTGGTGATAGGAATGGTCAATGTTTCTTCAATATATACCCTTATAATGTGTGCATTTTATTATATGCAAATCATACCTCATAAAGTTGACTTCAAAAGATAATTTGCACATAAATAAATATTATCTGTAAAATATAAATCTGTAAATGTCTAGGCCTTATCCTTAGTGTTTCTAATTTGTTAAGTCTGTGATGGGGACTGAGAATTTGCATTTTATGAGACTCATTATTTCCATGCAGATGATCTTTGAATTAAACCTTAAAAATACAATATTCTCCCCAGGGAATGATGAGGGTGGACATTGGAGACAGGGCATGGTGCCCCAACAAGCTAGACTAGAAAACACAAGCTTTTCTTGCTTGGTATATTTTAATTTGTTCTTCGTCAGTGGATTGATGTTGTTGCTGTTTTGTTGTACATTGTTGCTTGGTTTTG